ACACGTGTGACTCCATCGTCTTCAAATTTGGCAACTTTACTCTGGAGGATTTCACCCACTGGAACGCTGGTGTTGGCGGTGCAAAATGCGATACTATGTGGGCCAATACGTTCGCCTGCATCGGCATCGCCGGGAACAGCGGCAAGCCGCCCAAGAGCAGCCCGATGACGAGCATCCCGACAAGCACCGCGATCCCGGCCGGCTGTCAGGTAGCCCATCCCGCGCCGACCCAGCCAGGCTCGATATGCGAGTGCAAGCAGTGGTACCTGCCAGCCAGCGGCGAGTTCTGCTTCGACATTCAGACCAAGTTCCAGATCACGCCTGCTCAATTCAACGCTTGGAACCCGCGCATCGGGCAGCAATGCGAGAATCTGTGGAAGGACTACTACGTCTGTGTCAAGGCTTGACACCTAGTTACTCTGATAGGATGCAGGCTTCTGGCGGTCAAAGTCTCTGCTGCGATCACCAGGTCTAGAGAGCGCTGATCCTGCAAAGATCCGAAAGTTAGCGCTAAGCATCATGAAATATAATATGCCAATCTTTTCATGGAAATATTCTCCAAGGACATTATATTCTGCCAATCAAGATGGTGTGAGTTACGTCTTACTTACAAAAGATTGTTGGGCTACACCGTATCAGCGCGGGTGGAACGCTCACAGTGTTGGGAATTCGAATATTATTAATGGTGTAGCGGGTTTCCTTCAACCTATATTCACTGTTTTCTTGATTCCCAAACAAATTCAACCTGGATCAAACGTTTCGAATCAAGCTGGAGGCAAACTGTGGTCTGCGAGGAACCTGAAGGGCATTCCACCCGCTTCTCAGAATCGGTCGGGATATCCGAGGCTTGGATGACCTTGTGTGCGCTTGCCGGAGAGTCTGCGAGTTGCGCAATCGATAGATGACCAACTGTTGACTTGACAAACTCAAATAGAATCGAATGCTTATCGAAGTAAACCACGAGGGGTTTCTGGCTTGCGCGCACTTGCTGGCGAAAGGGCAGGCTCTCGGAAGTTACACTTAGAACGGTGCCTTGCTCATTTTGCTCGTTCTGCTCGTTCTGCTCGTTCCCTAAGGCAATTTCGTGTTCATCAACATCCGCCACCGCGTCATCGAGGCCAGATGACACCTTAACACTACTCGGTATAATACTGAGTGTGGAGCCACTTGACAGGGGTAGGAAGGCTGTACTCTCAGAACCAAATCCGTTCGGGACCATCGTTCGCCGTTTCGTCGACTGTTCCTTGATTTTCTGTCTAAGCTCTGCCGTCATGTCCGTGATGATTCTTCGGAACTCTGATCTTTGGCTTTTCGTCATCCAGGTAACGTCTGAAATAGTCCACTTGTGGTAGAGGTTGCGGTGAGCACATGATATAACATACCGGCCCTGCTTTCTGATGAACAGATCGCAGAGGTAGCATGCAGACTTGCTACACCCAATTGCCCGTGGTGCTGGTTCATGAGGGTGTCTTTCGTAGTGGAGAACCTGTTGGATCTCGGCATGTACATGGCAAATGTGATCTGCGGCCACGGGGGTGGTTATCTTTGGAGTGCTTATGATGACAAGCTCGATGTCTCTGAATAGATTGCTGTACTTGGGATTCCTCGCAATACGGAGGAGATCTCTGCATAGAAGCTTGTATCGGGCAATTTTGTCAATCTGTAGAATCACTACCTTCTCGGTGATCGTAGATTGGGTATCGAGAGAGTTCAGGTAAGCCTCCACCGAACGAGTTGTGGTGGCGGCCACCACTTCCGCGCATCTCATAACGACTACTTCAATAGCGGTGGCTAATCTCCCATTTTCTAGTTTCTGATCTAGTACGGCTAAGTCATCCATCAGCTCTCTGGCCCTTTCGATGAGCACCTGGAGCCCCGGATCTCGCCGTTGGTGGGCTATTCGGTTCAGGGCCGCCACTGCTCTTCTAAGGCGTTCCCGTAAAGATGGGCTCGTTTTTTGGCCATGAATACGGGTTTGGAACCATCGGGGCTTTATTCTGCCTAAAATTCGGGATTCGTTGAGAGTTAAGACCTCGGTTAGAATGGCACGGGAAAAGCTTTCGCGGTCTCGCTCTGGCAAAATGGTGAGAATTTGCTTGTTTGATTCGCCTGGTGATTGAAAGACTCTTACTAGTAGACGCGTAGCGACGCATTGTGTCCAACACCGTTCTCATAGATTGTCGAATATTCCGAGTAGGGGCAGAGTTGCATGACATGAGGACAACGAGGCGATCAGCGTGCTCCTGGAGGGTTATGGCGGTAACGCGTTTACCGCCTGTATCGTTTTGGCACAGAAAAGCAAGATTGTCGGACATTTGGAGCTCGTCTTGGAACGAAATAATATGTCCATTGGAGGGAGGGTCTTCATTATCCCGATAGAGCTGCCCATCGGCGGGAGTATCCGTGAGGCTGTGCAGCTTGTTAACGGCTCCATAAAAGTCTTGACCCAGACCTTCCGTCCATAAAGGCACTGGAAGAGCCATGATTCTGATGATGATTTTCTTGCATTCTTTCTGCGGGGTCCAGTGCTTTTTGGTCGGGCTGTCTGATCAGGTTACCAACAGCCATTCTGAGATACGTGCTGCACGAGGCCTACAATATGACTCAGCAATTGGAGGTTGCTGCAATGCAAGCACTTCCAAACTGTAGATTGGTCATCTGCAGAAGCTCGCCTTGAACTCCATGCAAGGCGGGGAGAGCCCGAGTGGTCAACGTTGCACATCCTAATTCGCCGCCTTCCGCGCCCCTAGATCGGAAAAGTCTATCTATTGCCAGGCTCGTCCTCAGAACGGGAGGTTTCGACCCGCAATCCGGTTAGCTTTCAAGCAAGAGTATCTACTAGGCGATCGGTGGGCAGGCCAGCACTTCCAGGGCTCTTCATGCCGGCCTCCAGTTGCCGCTGGTCAGCGCGTGCTGGCTTTTTCGGGGATCCAGGGACTTAGTAGCCCGAGTGTACCTCGCCACAGTTTGCCGAAGCTGTTTCTTACTCATCTACCGCTAGTGTGCGACATTCTCGGCGAGGCGAAGACGGCAGTCTGGAAATGGACTACAGTTTGCTAAATACCATGCAGCAACATCCTTCGTTGCCATGGAGGTGCTATCGGCATAAACTTTTGGTGCGCGAGGCATTGGCAAGGCGTCTCCATAGTACAAGGCTACTACTCTCGAGCTGGCTCGATTCCTAACCTTAGCAGCATGGCACTCATAATTTCCTGCAAGAATTCATCCAGCCCCTTCCTTCGTATAAAAAGCATCATTTGCGTATCCGCTTATTACCATCTGCCCACCCCAAGTCCACAAGTAGGTGGCAATCTCAGCCGTAAGCAACGAAGACCTAATCCAAACATCTTCGATATGCCACTGCCCAGGATAACATCGGCGTACTCCCTGGCATGGGACCATTTCTGAACAAACTACTTGTAACATCCCCAACCGCCAAATACGCATGAAGGTGTCCGCTCTCGGGGGTGAATGCGGCTCTGTATTAAGCATTGAGCTGCTTGGAGACTTCAGCAAAGGATTGCTCGCCTGTATTAGCCACCACCAAAGCACCATCTGCTAATCCCGGCCGGGTATGCTCTTGCATCGAACAGCTTCACCATAAAGTGGCGGAGGTTAACGCTGGAAAAGCTGGCAAACGTCTTGCCTGCGGCAATTTTGATGTTAACCTGGAAATTGCGCGTCGCGAAGACCACAGCAGCGTGCCACGCGGCCGTGACGGTGATGCCCAGCGCCTTACTGTCTGAGACGACAGAAGTGGTCTGCTTTGGGCCAAGCAGCATGGAACAGCGAAACATGTCTTTGGGAGGAAGTAGAATGTCTGCTACAGGCATGGTTATAGGGTCGGGGTTGGTATTTGCTGTTCCAGTTGGCCGGTATTCTGGCGGTCTTCGTCTGAGGGTTTATCCGGGAGGCCGAGGAGATCGTTGAGCATGGACGGCAGATTTTGGTTTCATGGCCCAAGGACACGTCTGAAATTGGACTGGCAATAGGAGAGAAGAGAGCGTGCCATAAATAGAGTATTTCGCGACCGTCTATGTGGTATTGCTCTCTCTGTAGCAAGAGCTCCGGCGAACTAGAACAGTAGCGGAGCGTTAATTGGCGCTCCTTTGTGGCCTTCGCAAAGACCTCAGCTACAGTCTTTATGTCGCGTCCTCTGAAGGTATCCTCCTAGAGCCAGGACTGAAGCTCTTGAAGGCCCAGTGTCTCACAGACCTTATCCATCCTGGCCTCGCTGATGGTGGCGGCTATAGTGGGAAAGCAATACCGCATCTCCGTTCAGGCATTGCGAAGCAGCCCCTTCTACATCGACACTAGGGCTAGTGTGGCTGAACTTGACAGCACTTAAAACATTCCAATGCGCTTTTGCCCCGCCTCGGCAGGCAAGGCGATGTATACCTTAGCTGCGAAAGCAACACTCTGGCTCCAGTGCGTTGGGGTGATTTGCTTCCAGGGAAATATATCCTGGAAGGACGGGTTAAGCAAGCGATGAGCGATAGGTTCGTGTGGAGAACTGATGAAGGAGGAGGTAGATACACCGCCAGTTTTCGTTCTGTAGCCTCAACTGCCTGAGCTATTTAGCTTTATATCCACGATTTGAGCGTCGTTAATGATAACAGGCGTAAACTTTTAGAAACTAACGCCTTAGGGGCGAACCTCCCCGAAGGTGGCCGGCTCCGTACGCCCCCGAGCACACAACTCCGTCTATCTTCTGCTGTGCGAATTGCTTGATTCATTGCTTGTGCCTAAGATTCCGGGTGTGGTATCCATTATGCGAGACAATTATGCTGCACATAGGTACTATACTACTACACGACATATATATAATATACGGTGTATTAAGAATAAGCACAAAACCCATTCTAGCCAGGACCGCTAGGTTTTCACCCAGCAGAGACTAAGTTGTATGCAAGATACATATAGCCCCCACCAACAATGATTGCCAAAAAAAAAAAAAAAAAGCAAGGCACTTCCTATATGGAGGAAGGCGAAAAAAATTCCGACCAGGGCATGACTCGAACATGCGCTCCCGAAGGAAACAGATATCGAAGGAATTCGAGTCTGTCGCGTTAACCACTCCGCCACCTGGCCGATGATGACAGGTGGCAAAGTTAGGACTCATATACCCAACTCAGGGTCACTCCCCATCCCGCAGGATTGAAGTGGGGCAGTCCACCCAGGACGCTAGGGTGGCACAGACCATATCTTCATACCATACTTCGTCGATTTTCAGGCCGTTCCAGCGGGCTAAGCCAGGTATTTTTGGTCGCTGCTGTAAGCCAGATTTTCAGGCCTCTCGCCCCCCTGCATCCCCCCTGCACTTGGATCTCTGCTTGTACTCCGTACCATGCTAGCAATTAAACTAGGGGTGGACTGTACGCGTAAATGCTATAAGTGAACTACTTTAACTTACTTCTCATGCTTGTGTCAATACCCACTATCAATGGCTCTCGAGTTCCCAACCGCAAAACCACACATCCCTTTTGTCCACCTGAAAGCAAGGGTCCAATATTCTTCAGGTAGTAGGCTTCTCCGGCTTCCGCCCATACACCACATGCCTATAGGTGGGTTTAATTAGCAAACCGGTCCGAGGCCAACCAGAGTTTTCATCGCAGAGTGCTTACACATCACCAACGGTCATATTCTTGGGATTCCGGACTGCGGATCGCATTTCAGCCACGAGAACTTGGACTTCATCCAGAGTCCATCCCAATATCTGACCGATTGGATATATGGCGAAACCGTCCAGGCTGACGTCGAAGAAAAGGCCGATATACGCCCCAAGCTCCTTGGTTTTCTTATCCTTCGGCCAGGTGCCAAACGGAACTTTGTACTTCTTATGCGTGATATCCTCAAACCCAGCGCCGCGCGCCCATTCCTCCATCTGGCCATTGGCGAACTTGAATGTCCGCCCTAGCTTGTCGCCTGCATCGTAGAACAGACGCGCCCACTTCTGGTAGATACTATAACTTGGTCAGGGCCTGCACCTCTTGCAAACACTGGTCGAAATATTCCAACGCAGAATGACTGCCAACCCAGCTGTGGAGCTACTTGAAGATGAAATAAGGGGACTCACTGGTCTTTGTCGATAACAATGCTGGGGTCCTCGGAGCGTAGCTCGATGTCGGGATCCATATGTTGAAACCAGCCACCAGGCTTCAAGTGCTTGTACACCTGGGCGTATAGCTTGGGCCAGTCATTAATAGCGCCTTGGAGATATCGTATGTGAATGAAGTCAAAGTAATCTTCCTTGAATGTCCAATCGAGCTGCGCATCATCAATCTGGAAGGTCAAATTCGGTGGAATCCAGCTCGGCTGCGTAGCTGAAATGTCGGTCCCAATGACCTCCGCTGATGGAAACTTGTCCGCCACATCACTGGCGTATGTTAGAAATAGGTATACAAATATTGCCGGAAGGATGTCCTAACATGGCCCAGATGCCGGATCCAGTTCCCAAATCTAGGATGTGCTACTGGAAGGTCAGCCCCAATCGAAAAAGAAATTATAGAGCGGCTATGCATACGTGGGGATTATCTCCAATAGGCGCAACATACAGTTTGTCACCTAACATCATTGTCACCCATTGGTGCCTTCCAAAGAGCCTAGTAGTTAGCACAGAGAGATCCTGAGGTACCAGGTTGAGGTCCGTACGCTATATCGAAGCTCTCGAGATGTTTCTCATCGTTAGGGGCCCTGGAAGGGGTTTAGTACCGCTCGTTTGAACAACATGGTTCTCATGGAAAGTATCTGCCCACCAATATTCGGTCGTTTTTGAAGACTGATAGGTTCTGCCATTGATGCTACGGTACTCTAGGATACTAGATGTGAGAGATGCTGTAGATCCACGAATGCTACGGACAATTAATCAGAATCCTCCTTTTGCGATCGAACATAGGATGGGGCATGGGACTAGTTCTAAACATGCCTCTCTTCGTCGATTGCAGAGTCACCGTCATCTGCCACAACCTCTGGGTCCTATCTTAGCCGTTAGCCATCAAGAGCAAATGGAAGTATCATGACAGTTAAAAGTCCCGGGTGTATAGAAGAACAGAATAATGCGTAAACAAGACAACTAACAAGCTCAATTCGCTGTTGTGTTTCTTCTGGGGCGGTAGCCATGTTGGCGGTTAATTCCGACTCGGCTGAAAGAACTCGGGCCAAGTCAACATAGGCAGCGACTTCCGTTCATGAAGCGTGAACAAGAGAAGAAGGGTCGGAGTAGTTCTCAGAGTGTGTCGGATGATTTTACCCCTCCCATCGTGTTGGCGTGTGTTGGCTCCCCACCACGGGCCGGGCCTGATCTTAGACCCATGCACCAAACCCTGCTCCTCGGCGGTCGCGGGGGATCCGATTTGCCGGTTGGGTCCACGCGAGGTGAACGCATGCAGAATTTCAAGTTCATTGCATATAAACGAGGAGAGCTGCTTGACAGAATGTGGGGGCCTTCGCTACTATCAACGGCATTTACCAAAGGCTGTTGCAGTATCACGTATTACTTTTGGTAATTCGGTGTGTTGGCTTTCGTATGCGGCTTCCTGCGGTCTTGGTGCGGTACCTATATAACGGCTGTTAGTTACCACCGCCCCACAAGTTCCATGAGGTCCCAAAGTAGACATCGCGCTGGTATTCATTCTACGGTCCCCGTTGCAGTGGACGGCAGCCTGGGGTCACGACTATATACCAATGGCGATGCAACATGGTATGCACCTGCTCAATCTCAAACGAGATTTGCATACCAGAATTGGTAAATGCAGATATCCGAGCTTTGCTGCAGAGTAACGGCGTTGTCGTACACCCTAGCACATGTCAGAAGACTGCACTCTAGTATGTAGTGACTCCGACGCTGTGTGCATTCGCACTTATTTTCTAATTTCACGTGGAATAATAATTCAATTGAATATCCTGCTTTAATTTCCGCCTTCACTTTGGTTTCACATGATGAGATCAGCCCTCCTGCTAAAGATACAGGACATGGTGCAACACAACTAAAGTTGTGATTGTTCTTAAGCTCGTTTCGCACATGGGTACATGTAGGTTTTGTTTACATTTTCTCCGTGACTGATTCGGCGGCTGAGTTCGTGGCAAAGTTCATGAAGATAAGACAGCACAAGACAAGGGTGCTACTGTAACTATGTTGGGAACACGATTGAAGTGTAGTAGAAACTATCTGAGGGGTCAGGCCATTCGCTGCTGTAGGGTGAGTGTGTAAGAATACCCAGTAGAGTGGCGACAGCAGGGATTCTGGCTATCCCATGAACGCCGGCAGCTAGGGAACAGTGGATAATGTTGCCGTCTTTCGTGTTGCTACCTACGGTGGGTGGTCAAGGTACCTAGGACTGCTGCAGTTCCTCGACATGGAAGCGTGCGTCCACCCTGACCTCGACGGAGACATCCTCGGGCTCGAATTGCAGTTCTTTCTCATCCACCTTGGCAGCGCGCTCCTTCTTGCCATAGTGCAGCTGTGGGCGAGTGCTATGGCTGTAGTTTGCATGCTCCGTGAGGCTGATGGGCTTAACCCGGGCGACAGCCTCCTCGGCTGTCAGGTTGCAGAAAACCTCGGCATAGTCTCGTGCACGCTGGATGGCGTCTAGAGCAGCCTTCTTCCGCGTGCCCGACTTCAGGGAGTCAGCCGTATCATTTGTGAGATGCCAGGAGAGTCTCTTGATGCTGATGTTTTCCATAGCGCTGAATCGAGTGGCGAGCTGGTTCAAAACAGCGAAAGACGAAAACTTGATGTTGAACTCGGCGCGCGCAGAATAAGTTGTGCTCGCCTCCGTGGTCACGCCTTGGTCGGTCCGGGCCTGATGGTAATGGCAAGACGTTTCGAGTGTGGTCATGCTGTAGTGACTAATCCCTGCATCAGTCTTGGGAGCCCCGGCCACGTCCTCCTGCGGGCAGTACGGGCTGATGATCTCGCGGATGAGATTCGCCACTGTAGTGACCTGTTCCGAGGCTTCAACAGGCGTTGACGTCTGTAGCGACTCTGCTTTCTATCGTTTGGTAGTGGGTTAGTTCTCATTTCTCGGCATGCCGCGGAGGTGGAAGTGGACGTTTGAGGTACGAACCAAGTTGAGGATTGCCCGCTCTGCCGGCCGGATCGAAACTCCGGTTCCTGTGAGCTTAATCTCGAAAGGCGAAGACGCAGAAGAAAGCGAGGTTGACGACATTGTCCGGATTCTAACTAGTCAAGATTTCGGCTCTTGGTAATATTCTGAGTTGAGATGGTTGAAGTGTCTGCTCTTTGAGGAGGACAAGGCGTGCGGATATGGTTGGGCTGGGCTGTGGAAAGGGGCCGCGGCGCACATATATACCTCTGTCCAGTGAGCCAGGACTTAAACTCCAATACATTTTGGCTCATTCACGCCTTCCTTCGCTTATTGATTCACTCACGCCAAGTCTTGGTCGCCCCGAAAAAAAAGGACCGAAGTATTTGCCTTGTTTGCCTAACACTAGATAGACATGAACGACCAACGAAAGGCCCACTTTTACGTGCTTAAGCTGCTGGATTCTTCCCAGAAGCAGGCCGGATGACCAATAAAAGGCGGCCAGACATATTTGTAACCAGTAATAGGCTTCTGCCTAGTAAACATTTCACACCAACTGCATCAAGTCCTAACAGCTTACCGTTGAGACCTCTCCTAACAACCATGGCAGAAGGGCTTTCTGCATTTTTAGGCGGCATATGCATGCATCGGAGGCATAGGCAGCAAGCCAACGCCGTCGTGTTATACAGCGTGTCGCATCAGGCAATCGCGGTGATTGGCCAGTGGCTGACCACCGATAGGACAAGTATGCCCCCCGCGATGCGGAACACCATGCTGACCGCGACAGATCAGGCGGCAAATAACGAATCGCTTCCGAAGCACCGGCTCTTGATGACTACGCCAGTATAATGACTTAGCAAGTTAATATCTGGGCAGTCGAAAAAGTCGACACCCTCATCCCCTCTGTCTCCTGCTCCTCTGCGTCCCTTCCTGCGTCGTGCGAGCCACTTCAAGCGAAGCGGTTCGCCCATAATACTTCGCCTAGGCTCCGACGGAACTAGCTCAGAAGAGATGGTGCTGGCGACCCAGGGGGAAAGACACCTAAAG